GGATGAAAAAGAGCACATCCAGTTAGTCCCAGTCAGAGAAACAGGACTACACTGAAAAACTGGCCTAGCCCCAACATCTATAAACAAATGTGATGATTTGTGTGTTTATGTCAGATCGATCTTCGTTTTGAAGCCAGAAACATCGAGCGTTTCCAAGAAAACTTCCGCGACGTGGACAATATCAAGTTCCCAACTCCACTACGACCGTTTGTGACCAGGAACATTTTAGTGGAGACTTTTGAGGTGAGTGCTTGGAGCAGGATAATAAGCGAAGCCTGCGGCATTATAAAAAAAAAAAAAAAAAAAATATGACTTTTATTTTGTAGGAGAGCGAGCCTATTTCCAATTACCTGAGCTCCAACATTCCTCAGGAGGTGAAGCAGAGGATAGCCAGGATGGGAGTCGACACTTTGTTAAAAATGGTGAGATCACTTTAATGAGTCTTTAAAGAGGAAGTATATGCACATACCTAGACTGCTTCATCACTTTTTCATCACCATATTGACATCTTCACTGCAGGTGTTTGTTGATAACTTTGTCCATGGAGACCTGCATCCTGGCAACATCCTGGTCCAGTGTCAGAGGTCTCCCACTGGTTCCAGTGATGCAGTTGGTATCCCAGGGGACCAGCATGGGAAGACCACCCTCACCGACCTGTTGGACACTGTTGTGGTGAGCGTCAGACCGGACCCATGTCCTCTGCAGCTGGTGCTGCTGGACGCCGGTATCGTCGCTCAGCTCAGCGACCACGATCTCGCCAACTTCAAGGCCGTCTTCACCGCGGTGGTGCTGCGCAAGGTAAGGAAGAACCTAATGATTGCTTCTTTAAATGCGTCTGATTGAGCGTCTATGAGAAATCGATTAAATGGCCCAGATAACCTGAGTTCAGCTGTGCGGTTTTTCAGGGTGAGCAGGTGGCAGAGTTGATTTTGCATCACGCCCGCGCCAATGAGTGCAAAGACGTGTCACTCTTTAAGAAGGAGATGGCCGAGTTGGTGGATCACGCCGTCAGCAACACCCTCTCTCTCGGAAAGGTATTTTTTCTCCTTTTGTGCGACTTACTTTCTCAATGATAAGATGATACAGTAATAATTGAACATAATTGATCTTACAATAGAGAAATTCACTTCTGCATCTTAACCCATCCCCTTTGGGGGGTACGTGGGAATCACAGCTTGTCCATCACACCCCACAGTATTCTTTGATTAATGCTACATGGTGTGTTGCTGCCAGTAAGCTCCATTTTAATTCTATCTGACTAAACCAATGATTTCACATCATTTTCAGACACCTGGGTAAGAGATATGTATTTAAAGGTGATTACTGATTAAATTACATTCTGATCAATCATTTGTTTTAGAGGAGCTTTTACCATATGACAAAAAAAGGGATATAACTATTGATATATAGTTATATCAATAGTATATATATTGCTTTTATATTTGGCAGTTTTGGCTTTATTGCTGCTCTAAGTGAATTCTTCTTTAAGCAAATTTCATGTTTTAGAGTCACTTAAGAGTTAATCAATTACAAAATTTATTGACACTGACTTCATCAAATGATTATCACATTTTATGTTACCTGCTGTGAATGCAGTCAATAGATTAACTCGGATTAAAAGCATAATTGTATTACGAAGGGTACTGCTAGAGAAAGACATTTATTAAGGCATTTTGTTTTGAACCAGCTGCTCCAGTAAGGAAGGAGGAGACGCTAATCCTGGTTTTATATATGTATATATATATATATATATATATACAGGGCTCGATGTTAACCATCGCCCGATCTCCCGGGGCAAGTAGTTATTGTTGGGAGAGTACAAATTTCATTGCATTTGACCGCCGGCAAGTGCAATGATCGCAAAAAAAAAAAAAAAGTTATTTATCACTCAAAATTACTTTAAAATCACAGACATTCGATGAAAACGACCCAGAAATGTTGCTGGTGCCAATTTTTTTGTTTTGTACACATTCTTGCGTGATTTGAAAAAGCCGGGTGATTTTCCGCCAGATGGCGGGATTTTTGTCCACCTAGCGGTAATTTTGATGTAGTTACCAAAACGACAAACAAGCTAGAAAACGCTATTGCACCGGTTTTTCTGTATCATTTTATTCGCATAATCACTCAAAAATCACCTACACTCAAAGAAAACAACCCAAAAGCGTTGTCGATGCCATTTTTGTTGTATGTATGTATATACGTATGTGTATGTATATATATATATATCTATATCTGGCATCCTTTATCAGGAGATATTATCGCTGCAGACAGTTGAATGCATAACATTTTACTGCTCCATTAAAGCAGTCAGGTTTAAGGGGTTTTAATGCTGCACTTTTCTGTTCTGTTTTGTGGAAGCTTAACTCATTATTTCTAAAAAAAAAGAAAAAAAAAAACGAAAGGCTAATTAAATCGCGCATCTTTTATTCATTATCCACTTTTTTCCCCACAGATTAATGTCCACATTTTTCTCTTTGTTTAGGTTCAAGTAGCCGATTTGCTCTCTAAGGTCTTTGGTTTACTCATCAAGCACAAGGTAATTTATGTTTCCTTTGTGATCTCAACTTTTAAACTCTCCGGTTTAAAGTTTTTGATTCTGATAAATTTGAAATCATCTTTTTAAATTTCAAACAACGTCTTTAAATACAAGACTTTATTTGTTATCTAAATATAGTTTAATAATGCTGCAATAAAATGAGCTGTCAATGTGAGGATTTTCATTAGAGCCTTTTTTTTTTGGCCATCATGTGAGACCTACATAAGAGATCAAATCAGCTCAACTTTCTCAATGCTGTATTTAAAAACTCTGATCTTTTTACAGATTTCAATTTTCTTGTTTTCTATAAATTCAGACATCGAAAAAACATCTTTTCTTATCTGTTAAAATTATCTTTAAAACTGTTGGATTTAAATCGGATGGGTTAGGTATCCATTTACAAGCTTGTCAGTGTTTTTTTTCCCCTTATTATTTTAGTATTCAGTAAAAAGAAATAATGGTGATCCTGAGCAAAAAATCAAAACATTTTGGTCCAGTTAAATTATACAAGGAAATATGTATCAAATACTTTATATGATAAAAAAAAGATTCTCTTTTAGTCTAGTGCAAATATTTGGTTTTAAACACATATTAATAAGCTCAAAGTAAACAAGAAGCAAATCTAAGCTGATATAAAGTAATATCAGTACACCAGCATAGAGCGTGTCTGAAATAATAAGAAAAATAGGTAAACATTCATATTCACTGAATCAGTCAATATTTGCTTTGATGATCTAAATAAAAATTAGAACGGGTCTCTTCCTAAATTTCTATTAATCGATTGACAAATTGCATTTGGCCTTTTAATTGATGCAGTCCCTGGCTGTATAACATTAATCATTGGTTCTGTTTCCAGGTGAAGCTGGAGAGTAACTTCGCCTCCATTGTGTTTGCCATCATGGTTCTGGAGGGTCTGGGAAGGTCACTGGATCCCAACCTGGACATCCTGGATTTGGCCAAACCGCTGCTGCTGAAGAACTGTGCATCTCTCCTCTGATGCAAAAGGCCCAACAGGTGGCACACAGGCAGGTAGCTGTGCTGTAATGGGTGACTTTAAAGGTTTCTATGGTACAGGTGTACATCTCATACTGTTCTCTTCAGAATTGCAATGCAATGTTCCATTGTAGATCATAAGATCCTCCTCCTCTACATTATGGCATATCAAATACCTCATGTTGCCTTTATTTTAGCAGCCATTTCATGTCACTGACTTTTCTTCATGTTTCTGTTGCCTGAATTAATTGTGAATCTTTTATACATAGAGACAAACTTTTAAAGCACACTCATTGAAGCCTGATTAGAGTTGAATCATTTTTTAATGACTAATCAAGGAGTAATCAGAGGGCATATAAGGAACTATTTAAGGTAGAATAATAGAATGCTAATAGGAACCCCAGCTTAGTAACCTGGTTGTCAAGTACTGCCTTGATTAAAATATTCATATCCTTCCAACTTTTCTCAACTGTCCATATTTACAGTTACAAAGTTTTAGAGATTTGATGCTTTTTATAAGAGAAACTGAGACAAATTTGTAAAGAGAAACATGACCTGAAAGGTAGAAATTACTTTTGTTTTCTTTAAAATGGCAATATGGTGTGCATTGATGTTCAATGCTCAATTTTATAAAAACTTTTTAACATGTTGAGAATTGGAATGCTTGCATATTCTGCTATAAAATTTAGCCGAAACTCGGTTAAATCAGGCAGACTGTGTCTGTGAAGTCCATGAACTTTGACTAGGCCATTCTAATCCCTGAATTTTTAATCCTGGCTGTTGTTCTGCCATTGGCTAAACCTAAACCCACATCTCAAGTCAATTGCAGCATTTTATGTTTTTTCTGGAACTTCCCAGTGGGTTGCTTCAAATATCCTTTCCCTATCTCCCGTTTCCCTATCTCTGCTAAAGTAAAGAATCCCAATAGAGTGAAACTCACCCTACTGTTTTAAGTTTACATTTTTCCATTGCTTAAAAAAAAATTATAAACGTACAACTTTCCTTTTATTTCTTCATGAATGTTATCCGTGTTCGTTTGTAGTGGTTATAGTGTCACTAGTTCAAGGGGTATGAATACTTTTTCAAGGTCTTGTACAGATGTGGAGACATTTTATTCCTGCAATGTTTCTTTTGTGTTTTATGAACTGTTTTTAGAGTGAATCACAGTACTGTACCATGTTCGTTGTAACACACTACACTGAATGAGCTATGACTTAATGTACTAATATTTTTTTGTATTTTAATTGTTCAGTGCTCATACCATTAAAATGAAATCCAGCCCGACTACAGTTCTTCTCCTGCTTTGCCTGTAATGTCTCCAAATGTGATGATAAACTCCAACAAATGACTACATTGAAGAACACAGAATCCATTAATCTACAATTTATTAAATCTGTCAATGAAAAACAGACAAAACTTCGATCTTATCAGGAAGAACAGTCAGCATGGCTGAGTGACGGAGATCAGGAGGATTTGGTGCAAAATTGGAAAAGAAGGGAGGGGGGGATAACTCAAATACCCTTTATTGCAAAACAGTTTTTCTTTTTTTTTTTTGTCACCATCAACAGCCCATAGAGGGCAGCACTGTTTAAGAAGGGAGGGGAGAGGTGTTTTGTTTTTCTTTAAAAAAACGTTCAATAATATTAATAATGACAAAACAAGTAAAAACATCTCTAATAGACAAACACAATCACCTCAGTAGAAGATAAATTTCTGTCACGGTCACAACAACCACAGAGAGAAGTTGTTTGCTTTCCCCCCCCCCTATATTTTTAATGAATTAAATAGTTTTTAAAAATATCTCACCATTTAATTATAATTATCTTTTTTAATTATTTATTGCGAAAAATAGGCAACTGGATTAATTGTGATGATTCAGATTTCAGGTGTGTGATTTAGTGGACAGAGATGGAGAAAGTTGGTTTGTTGGCACTGAGAGCAGCAGCTTCATGTGGCGATGCAATACTCCCAAACTGCCACCTGGTGGCAGCACCAGTCAGTTTGAGCCTCCCACCAAGTTTGATCAGAAATCAGAATGTCCCATTCCTGTTCTGTCAGAGGGGAAACCAAGTACTGCCAACAGCAACCAGTTTTTTTTTACTTTTTACATTTTTTGGAATGATACTCGGGGTGTTTGTCCACAAATGTGTCCACAGTCGCTTATTTGTGTTGCGAAATCTAGTTCTATGTACAAAGGTTTCAAATCCCTGAAAGACATTTACAAAGACAAGTGCAACCTTCCACATGGCCGCCTCCTTTTTGGAGAGGCTCTGGGATAGATGGGGTTCCTCCAGGGGGGAAAAAAGACGGTTGGGTGGTGGGGGAGTAGTACCAATCGGATCCAGTAAACATACAACAGAAGGGAGTGAAGATAACTGTTCTTAGGAATGGAGTCAGAAGGTTTGGGGATTTGGTCATGTCAAAAACTGAAAAGTGCCAAGGGTGGTGGGTCACCAACATTTCCTAATACCATTCCCATATGTGAAAGATGAACTGTCACCAACAATTATTGTTGGTTTCTCATATTCCTTCATGTCGATCCAGCAGTGTCACCATGCATCTTCGAATTAAAGTCTATTAACACCAAGCAGATATTTCTCGAAGTTAATACTGATTGTTTTGATTCCAAACCTTCTCTGTACCCATCAATGTGATGCCCCCTTCCACCTGCAAGGTCGGTTCAGGACCGTAGAGCATGATAGGAAGCAATGGAGGCTGTGAGAAGCTTTTTTTAAGGACTGGATTCATGTAAGAAAGCTGTAAACTGTAAAGTCTGATGTTGGTACTTCTTTAAGGAGGTTATATAGGGCACATAGGCACAAACGCTCATTTTCTCGCATAATAGCACACACACACTCGTATGTCTTTATGGGCTCCGGTTTGGTAATGGAAGAGGGAACTCTGGGCCATCTGACAGCAGTGCAAGAGTCTCTTGCCAACTCTGTTTACTCTGAAAGTCAGCAGCTTTCATTTGTTAAGAAAAATTAGAAGAAAACGGATGAAGAAGAGGGTGACGTCTTGATGGCGGAGGAGGCAATAACACCATGTTTTGTTCTGACTTCTCGTTTCAGGAAAATCCTTTCCAACATCACTAAATTCCTTTTTTTGTAGTCCTTGCCAGCGTTTTGTGTTTTCGTTTTTTTACATTCCCCATGGTAGTGTACATGTAGAAGTAAAGCCTGATCAGGTGGGTATGGAATGAATGCGTTAGAAGCCTCTCTGTACGATGCTTGCTGCTCGCTGCCAACAGAGGTCGTTGTTTGAGCTCAAAGTCTAGAAGGTGGATGGGGAAGGAAGGAGAGGGGGTGATGGAAGTTTGTGGCTATGAGCTGAGCCAGGGGTGGTTTAGGCATTCCCCAGCCGAGGCCCTTTTCTCAGGCACCATCTCAAGCATGGGCAGCAGGAACTGGGTGAAGTGTCCGGCATCTTCGTGTGACCAGCCGTACTTTTCAACCAAGACATCGAACAGAGACCAGGGCTTCAGCTTGGTGATGTGCCGCAGCTCACCTGCAAGAAGGCAAACGGAGCACAGTCAGTGTTGAACAGAAGAACATAATAATAATCCATCAACTTTAGTTATATATATATATATACACACTGCTCATAAAAATAAAGGGAACCCTCAAATAACACATCATAGATCTGAATGAAATATTCTCATTGAATACTTTGTTCTGTACAAGGATGAATGTGCTGAAAACAAAATTACACAAAAATTATCAATGGACATAGTTTAACTAATGAGGGCCTGGATTTGGATTCACACACAAACTTAAGTGGAAAAACACTCCACAGGCTGGTCCAACTTTGATGTAATGTCCTTAAAAGAGGTCAAAATAAGGCTCAGTATTGTGTAGGCCTCCCTACAATGCCTGGGTATCCTCCTGATGAGGTTGTGGATCTCCTCCAAGACCTGGACTTTAAATATCCACTGTCTTTACAGTCTGTGGTGCAATGTGACATTGGTGGATGGCTCAAGACATGATGTCCCAGATGTGCTAATTCAGATTCAGGTGGGGAACCAGTGGGCTAGTCTATAACTTCAATTCCTTCATCTTGCAGGAACTGCGGACACACTCCAGCCGCATGAGGTCTAGCATTGTCATGCATAAGGAGGTACCCAGGGCCAACTGCACCAGCATATAGTCTCACAAGGGGTCTGAGGATCTCATCTCGGTACAGAATGTCAGTCATGCTGTTTGGCAAGCAAAAGGAGGTACTGTGTGGCCCTCCAGAGACCTACCCCACACCATGACTGACCCCATGTGAAACCGGTCATGCTGAAGGCAGCAGATCACTCTCCACAGTGTCTAGAGACTTTGTCATTTCTGTCAAATGTGCTCAGTGGGAACCTCCTTTTATCTGTGAATAGCACAGGATACAAGTGGGGATTTTTTGTTCTCTGGCAAATGCCAAGCATACTGCAGGGTGTTGGGCTGGTAGGACAACCCCCATCTGTGGACGTCAGGCCCTCATACCATCCTCATGGAGTCCGTTTCTAACCGTTTCTGCAGACCAATGCACATTAATGGTCTGCCGGAGGTCATTTTGCAGGGCCCTGGCAGTGCTCCTCCTGTTCCTCCTTGCTCCAAGGCAGAGATCCTGCTACTAGCTTGTTGCCCTCCTACGGCCTCCTTCACTTCTCCTGGTGTACTGGCCTGTCTCCTGGTAGCGCCTCCAGTCCGCATTGATGTGCCATTCTGGATTAGCTGCACTACCTGAGCCATTTGTGTTGGTTGTAGAATCAGTCTCATGCCACCATGAGTGTAAAAGTAGCAGCAACATTCAAAAGTGACCAAAACATCAGCAAGAAAGCATAGGAACTGAGAAGTGGTCTGTTGTCCAAACCTGCATAACTACTCCTTTATAGAGTGTTACTTGCTAACTGCCATTCATTTCTAACTGTTGTCTTTTTCATTTGCACAACAGCATGTGAAATTGATTTTCAACCAGTGTTTCTTCCAAAGTGGACAGTTTGATTTCACAAAAGTTAGATTAGTTTGAAGGTATATTGTGTGTCAACCTTATATTTTTTATGTTGCTGTATATATATATATATATATATATTTTTTTTATTATTTGTATAAATATGTAATAAAAAAATAGGCTACTGGATTAATCTTGCAGATTAAAAACCTTTTAATGAGATGTCAGAGAAAGTGGTAGCATTTCCACCACCTTTAAGTTCCGTAGGGTTACACAGCGCTGCCCACTCACCCATCTTTTACTGCACACTGCCGGTCAGCTGGCTGAATGAAAGCTCCTACACTTTTCTCTTGTTTCAAAGAAAAAAAATTTGGAAAGCCCGGTTGCTGATACTAAGAGAGCACTGGAAGATAAGTTAAGACCATCATATTGTCAGCTGCTATATTAAGTAATTATTGTTCAGAATCTTTGTGTCCCTACAAACCTGAAACTAAGAAGCTCATATTGACCCATGCCCACTCACTGGGCATGGGTCAGTATGGGTCAGGAACGCAGGAGTGAAAAATTCCTACTTGTATCAGGATTTCTAGTTTTGTGGTTGGCATAAAATAAACAAGGTGTTAGACAGTAGATCATGATGCTGAGGAGGCAGTTTATCCATCTGCACCAAGAACATGTCTAAAAGCAGCAATTCACCAGCTTTCAGGGGGTTTTAACACTCAAGACGTCCATGAAGAAGGAGTTTAGCTTAACTTAAAAACCCAAATGCTTTCACGGTGGCTGAGTAAACAGCACTGGAAACACAGTATATAAAAACAATCTTTACACTATAAATCAGCATAAACTTTGCTGATTTCAAAAATCCCTGCTTATATGTGTTAGAGCACATTTCTTGCCTGTAAAATTCAGATATTGAATAATAATGACATGAATCTCTAGAAAAAAGTGTTTCCTTCATACAGCTTTGCTGCTTTCTTAAAAACGTTTTGTGGTAAACAGGAAGCAGAGGTGGGTAGTAACTAGTTAGATTTACTAAAGTAATGTACTTTTAGGACTAGTTTTACAACAACCTTTCTACTTTCATCCACGTGATATTTTCTTTTCAAGTATCATTATTCCTGAATAATTTGTTCTTAGCTACTCAACCTACCATGTGTTTGTTCTTCACTAAATAAGAAAAAAACACATTTTAATCTGAAATGCACCAAAAAAAAATTTTCTACACAAGCTTGTTTTACAGTCCTACTTCTATCTGCTTTGACATATGGAGGTCAATTGAATGCATGCGCAATATCGGTTTAATAGGTTTTATTTTGGAAAAGTTACATTTGAAGTGTTTCTTCTGCCTGTGTTTATTTTCCAATTCATTCTACATTCATGTTAATAATTTTGTTTATAACTTTAAAACTTTACATTTTGATCTTTTTTACATAATTTTATAAAGTCAGTCAAACAACCTGATTAGTTACCCTGTAATTGAGTAGCCTTCTCACCAATTACCTTTTTTCCCTGAGCAATGTTTTGAAAGGATACTTTTTTTTACTTGAATAAAAATATGTAAAATTATTTAGTAACACTTCCTTTTACATTACAGAAATCACCATGTAATTACATGGTAATAAGATAGCAAGTCACACTATATTACTTGGTAAAAAGAAAAGCTTTATTTGGTAATTACCCCTAAAATCAAGCTATACATGCAGGTAATTACCTGCATGTATAGCTTGATTACAACTGTATTACAACTGTATGTTACTACAGTGTGTAACAATGGAGACTTTTGGTGGGTAATTACCATTAGGTTACTGCATAAAAGTTTCTAGAATTGGCCACCACATACTTACAGCTTACGTAAATTGTAACTTGTGATCAGGTTAATAAAGCATTATAAATCAGAACACAAGTTACATATAAATAACAGTTTAGTAAAGAGGTATGGTTTTCTGTTATAAAGTAGCAGCCATTTAAAATGGCCCTTCCTGGTCAAACGGCAGCCGAATGGCAGCCCATTTCCCTGCGACTCCCAGCAAAATCCCATCCAACTTCCAGCCACTGGCCTTCTCCTTAGCGTGGATTTTCTTTAACTCTGACTCCACCCTTTCACTGAATTACACAGTCTGACCAGGAGAAGACACTCCTCTTTAGAGCTTAATGTCCACAAATCATGACTATTTTTGTACAAAGATTGATGGTTTAAAAGGCATTGTAGGGGACCAGCCAAGGACCCATCAAGGAAAGTGGGAAAATTGTGAATGGCTACTACTGTATGCCAATTAATAAACTGCTTTTTACTAGATAATAACACATTAATTTATTGCTGTCGGTGAAATTACTGAGTTACATGGTAATAACAGTTTGACAACTAAGAAGTCTGACTTTATCTTGTCTGACCAAAATTTGAAGAAAAGCAATTACCAAAATTTTCAGTAAAGTGTTTTTTGTTAACTAGTAAAGTGTAACTTGCCTTGTTATTACCATGTTCTCACATGGTTATTAATTATTTCTGCTGTTACTCAAGTCTAATTTTGAGTAATCTACCCACCTCTGATGAGAACTTGTGTGGCTCAGGTAAGTGATGCATTCACTGAACTAAAACAAATTGGATGTTACGGTGTCTCTCTCATCATTTAGTTTTTTTACTTCACCTACGCATTAATAACAATTTATATAAAAGAACTAAAGTTCTCTTCTTTCCTCTGTCTAAGATTTAGGGAGACAGTTTTCGGTCCAGTTCACTGTAGTAAACCGACTGGATGTAATTATTTAACAGTCCAAATAACCAGCAGCTGATTTCACTGATGACTTCACTTCTTTCTATTTGAGGGACCGCTAATCTGTGAGGTGCTGCAGCGTCGTGGAAGCCTGCAGAGTCTTGGCTGAAAACCACACCGACAGAAGGCAGATGGACAGGAATAGACACACACACGTGTGACCAGAGAATAAGACATAATTATTGTATTCATTAGTCAGAAAAATGGCGGAAATAGCTGGCTGGGAATACAACTATGACAGGGAAGAAAGACAGTTATTAATGGGGCACAACAATGAGGTCCGGTATAAGCCTCAGCTTCCATGGTAAACATGTTTTTCCTCATCACAAAAATACAATCTATTTATAAAACACACTGGATAGAATTTGAGAGAGAAACCCCTTTATAGGCAATTTTAGCTTAAATAGAAGTTTCTTAATCTTGCATATGTCTCCAAGCAGTGTTTTCCTAAGAGTTCAATAAAAATCATTATGCACGAAGGGAACCAGGTGACACGGCCTGCCAGAGGCTTTCTGGCTGGCAGGAAAAGCTCCAACCCCTCAAGAGGCAGAAGGGGAAAGTCAGCTCAGATTAACGGAGCGCAGAGAGATAAAAGAGAGGAACATTGAGACATGGAGAGCATGCTCAGACCACGGATAGAGACGTCTTCAAAGCCAGAAGATTCAGATCTCACCATCATGAAGGATTTATGAGCAGAAAGAGAGGCAAAAAAAAGGGAATCTTTAAAAGTGGAAAAAAAAAGGACAGAGCAGAGAGATTATTAGGTGTATCAGTCACAGGCCCATCCATGCTAATGGATGCTGGTGCTTTTTATACATCAAATTCACACCAAATAAGTGAATTACTGATGCTGACTTTCACATGAAATAAAAAGTTATCTTGTCATTATCTTGTTGTGTTAAATTGATATTATGTTAAAAATATCTGATATTAGAAAAACTAATAGAAACACTTTGCTTCCACTTGCTTTTGTTTAAAGTTTGTGTAACTCTTTAGGGAATAAGAAATTCAGTTGTTCTCATACCTGATGCTGTAGAATAATGTTCTTTGTTTGAGAAATATCACTTGATCAAGCCTTTTCTATCATTCCAAACTAAGTAATAAAAGTGTTTATGATTCGTGCTGATATCAAATCAGGTCAATATTGGTATTAATCAATACTTAAAGCTGCAATATGGGAATTGTATTGGAAATTTATAAAATGTATCAGACCTTAATTATAAGGGTTGCAAACACTTTTTTGCAGTTATTTATAGAAAAAAACTTTTAATCTTTTCAGATTCTAACAAATATACAGTATTTTCCGGACTATAAGCTGCTGCTTTTTTCCCTTACATTGAACCATACGGCAAATAATAAGGTGCGGCTTTTCTGTGGATTTTTCCTAACTACCAGAAGGGGAAGTCAAAACTGGAATAAACCGCTAATTTTTATTAAGCACAAGAACTTGCTAGCAGCAGGCAAGATGGCGAATAAATGTCCCGAATTCACACATTTTAACATTTATTTGCTGCATTAAAGCTGCCGAACCAATGAGGATACTGGGCTCAAACCCTGCAGAGCTTAAATTTTTACCTTTTACTAGAAGCTATTATTACTGTGAGCCAACAAGCTAACGGGGGCTAGCATACTTCTTTGTCATTACTCCAGGGGCTATATGTAGAGCTCCCCCTACAGGTTTGGAGGGAAACAGTTCAGTAGATATAAATGGCTTATAGCCCGTTGCGGCTTATATGTAAGTTTACATTTTTTTCAAAAAACTTAGTGGGAGTGGCTTATAGTGAGGTGCGCTCTATAATACGGAAAATACAGTAGTCAATGTAAAGGCTTAATTTCTTTTTTTAATGTAAGTATAAGATTATGCTGCTACAGTAAGAGCTACATTGACTGATGCCAAGTAGCCTGTTTTTCACTTTAAAGCTGAAAGTGAAATGTGACTGAACTAAAACTCACATTTTTTACTGTGAAAATGATCAAAACAACATCAAATCTCTTATTAGCACTTATTATTACCATGAAGCAGCTTCTGATTGAATTTCATCCTTAAGTTTCCTTCATTTTTCACCTGCCATCACTTAAAGTGAATCTAAATAACTTGAAAAAAGCTGCGCCGTCCATCCAGGATCTACTTTTGAGAGACAACGCATTCTAGCTGAAAATAAAAAAAAATAATGGAACTGTTGTGACTGTATACTTACCCAAACTGTGCCTGAGAGTTCCTATCAAAACAATGTGATAAACACTAACCTGTCCCCACTGCCGTCCCCCACATTGATTTATCTCCAGCTAACACCCAGGATGAGGCCTCCACCCACGGGTCAGTTTACCTTTCTTGGAGAAAAACTCTCGGCTGAACTTCCCAGCGGCTACCAGTTTGCGCGGGACCTTCCCAAGGAGCTCCATGATCAGAGCGATGTGGTCTGTCCCCACCATCACATACGTCACAGAAGGGAACAGGCACGGTTCAGCATGACGGCATGCACACACATCAACACACACGCCGTCGGCTGCTTTGCGCCGACACACACTGCCGCCTTGAGGTATTGCCTGGACACGTTTGGAAACCCAACACTGACTGTTCCCACTGTTAATCGATGAGCCCAATTGATCCCAGATTATCTATTTGTGTCCGTTTCTGTCCCTCTTTGACATCCGTGTGTCTCAGCGCCACTCAGCTTTCAGGCCATCGCTACCTCTTCTGTTGAAGAACTCCCGAGAATACTTTCCAGAGAGCGCAAAGTGCCTCGGAATACAGCCCAGCAGCTCTATGATGTGGGCTATGTGGTCTATTGGAGAGGGGGAGGGGAAGCAGGGGGGGGAAGAAGTAGAGGAAAAGACAGAGACAGAAAAACCCAACAAAAAGAAACAAGAATAAAGGTGGTTTGGTGGGTGAGAAAGTAAGAACAGACAGAGGGACAAAAAGAGAGGGAGGAGGTAAAAGGAAAAAAAAACAATCAGAGATTATGAAGATAGAAAAAACACATGTTAATAAGCTGTGCCTCCACAGGATGAAGAAGGACATGAGATGAATAAAAGCAGCAGGTCCTGAAATAATGAACTGCTAATGTGAATTTAGTGGTGGGGGATCAAAAGTTACCAATGCTTAAAAAAAAGACAAATGGATAGTAGGCGACTAAGTAACACATGTAGAGAGGGAAAAACAACAATCAAAGAGTCGGAGGGGTGAGGTGAGGATGAGGCTGCAGACTGGAAGAAATGTGTCAGCTCTACAGCAGGATGCTGCCTGCATGCAGATAGAAAGATACAGCGACCTGGATGAAGATGCACATATGATCACTGGATCGCTGACTAATGTGGTTCTTAGGGGTGCTTCATAATCTGTGGGGCTTTATGTTGTAGCAACAAAAGGCTAAGAATGTGAGCGGTGGGGGGAAGATGGGTGGAGGCACAGCTGCAGAGTTCAAGGTAAGGATTTAAAGTTAAAGACAGTGGATAGTGGGATTTAGAGAAAGGGACGGCTACACTAAACACTATAGACATGTATTCATTCACAATATAATGAATTCAAAATTTGGAGCTAAAAATGTCTCCATTGCTTGGAACAAAACCCATCTGATATCAAGAGGTTAATGAAAACAAGCAAATTACATATAAAAGAATGAAATTCACTTAGTTTCTATCCTGATTTTATCAATTAAAATTATTTAATTTGGAGTATAAACTCTTATCCAAACAATGGAGAAACATTTTTAGGTCCATTCATAGAATCTAAGACACTTTGCTCGCCTTACGGATGTACAGTGCTGGTGGAAAGTTGGAATAGATTCATTCATCGGTTTGAATGTTTTAAGTTTGGGGCCTTTTAATGCTGCTTTAAACTTTTCTAAATGAGGAGGAACAAAACAAACAATTTTAATGTTGTTTGAAAACTGAAAGTTTGGTTTCATTGTTTTTATTTTATTCAAACGGAGCCAAGACAACACAAACAGGTCCAAGTATAAACCCAGCCCCACCTTCATAGCTGTTAAATGTATATAGAGCAGGGATTCTAATCCACATGCATTTCATAGCATAGCCGCGTCACCTTTTTTAAGACGGTTGGTCATTTAAACTCAATGGTTTCCTGTAAATTAACCTGCCTTTAAACCAAATCCACAATATTTTATCTGAACCATAATGAAGGCCCACATCCATTTGGTAGTTTGGGATTAGCTTATTATGACCAAAGATTTGATCTGCTGATCCAGTTTGTCTTCCTGCAGCTGGAACCACCAAAGCCTGACACAGAATCACATGAAGAAGTTGCACAGTGGCTCCTTATACTTTACCCCAGTATGTTAATTAATGTCTGGCAAATGAAAGTAAAAAAAAAAAAAAAAAATGCATCTTTTTCTCCGTTTTAGTGCTGAGTAACAGATAGGGGGCCCAGCCAGAGCGGATTACTGCACTGGCAACAATGCCTCCCATATACGAGTCTTCCTCTTCAAACTGTAAACAATTACATGTTTAAAACAGATGCAATGGGGACAAAGTCCTCAAACACCCACCGCATTAACCCAACTAAATAGATTTTTGTTGTTAAAAGTCTAGTCTTAGACAGTAAACCAGAAAACTCTACAGGTTTGGTCAAATTATCATCGTGACTAGAATAGTGGTGGTCCAGGTGCATTTTGCTAAGGGACATGTTATCAAATATCTGTAGGCCAGAATGTTTTATAATTGAACCTGTAGATGTAACTTTAAACACAATGAAATCAAACTTTAAACCCTGCTGTTCTATTGCTGTTTGTAGGATCATGATCATAGCGGAAAAAAAAGAACGATTTAACGCATTCTCAAAGCCCCAAATTTAATAAAACATTCATTCCCACAATAAATGTATGTAAAACTCTGAGATAAATATCTAAGATATAAATAATTGTTTCAATACATAACTCTAGAAGTTCAACAGATTTTAACATTATGGAAGAGCTAAATTCAAAGTCCTTTTTTAAATGTTTAATCTAAATACTCACCCTCATCACGGGAGTAGTCCTCTCCAGAGTGAGGCTCAAACAGATAATCTCCTGTGGCCAGTTCGAATGCCTGACAAAGGAGCAGTTTTATATAAACAAAAGAGACTTATGATATTTCTGTGATTTAGACTCTGTTCTCCTCACCATGCAGGCTGTGCTCCAGATGTCAGCTGGGGTACCGTACCCGGCTCCTATCAAGACCTCAATGGAGCGGTACTGTCTCGTCTGGATGTCTTCTGTAAAGTGCTTATGCTGTTCAGAAGAGAGAAACAGAAACATTTGGCTCAATATCAGTTTAAAGGAACAGAACAAAAATGAATTTCCTCTGGAGGGTTATTATTGTACACTGGAGCGTGTTTACCGTTTCTGTTTTAAAACAACTGCTTTCTGTGTTTTTCTGCATTATTTCTGCTTGTTGGCTTATGTTAGATCAACGATTTCTCAGATGCTGCTGTGTTATAGCTGCTGGATCGCATCTCTGTGAGAACAAGTAGCCCAGCCGCCTTTACTTAATGATTTCTGCTGCTTGGGAAAAAAAGTCGTAAAAAAAAAAAAAAACACATTGAGCAAACAGCACGACTGGAACACTGTCTCCGCTTTTCTCCCTTGCCTCCAATAAAAGTCAACCTTACAGGCATGTGTTGGATACTAATGCTCATATCTTAAGAAGGCCTGTTTTACACTTGTTTTTTCACAGTTACAGCTTTGAATATGTTTTTTATTACATCTATCAATTTCTGTTTTACTTTCTGTCTTTGGATTTATGGTTTTCTTTGCAAAACAGCTCAGTTTCAGTCAGATTAAAATTCTTGCTACAGTTTCCCAATAGATTCATGGCTATCGTTTGACTCGGTCGTTTAAATCATAAGTATACTTTAATTCTTCCACTGTAGCACCAGCTGCAACTGTCTACAGTACAGGATTTCCCAAAATGTAGCTCTATCTGTCTTCCCATCAACTCTGAGGAGCCAAGGAAAAGCATTCCCACAACATGATGCTGCCATCACCACATTTAACACCTCCTTTAACCTAATTACTATTTTATCCTTTTCAGGTTGTGAGAAATGGCAGTCAGTTTTCAGTTGTTTTATGCTAATTCCATTTCTTTTAGATGGCAGACTAAACAGAGAGCTGACTTATGTTTTGGGCTGTACACAGCAAAAAACTTTCTGTAAGTGAGTAAAAATGTCTTAGAGTGAGTGTATTTATCCTTAATTGAGAAGGAAAAAAGGATGATCAGCCAAAGAATTGGGAATTCTTATATTTAAAAAAATAATAATTAGATATTAGAAACCTGAAATAAGAGACTGCAGTTATATTTTCTTATTTTAAATAAAGATCTTTTTCCATTTGCAAAGTGTCTTTTTACCCTGTTCAATTCCAGAAAACAAATCACTTATTTCAAGAAAAAATTATTTACTTAGATTTAAATGATTTGCAACATATCGAGGAGCTGCTCTTCTTCTGCTAAGATTAAATGACACATCAGTTGACTTTTGAAGGGTTGTCACAGCAAAAGGGGCTGCACTAAAAATGCCCCCCACACTTTACAGATGTTCATCTTTCTATTTCACAAATGGGAAACACTGCTGTGCTGATCTATTACCGTACATAAATTCCTAATATAATACAACAAATGATATGGTGTGAAAGTAACAGCGTGGGAAAAAATTTGAGGTGGTTTAAATACAACCCTTCTACAGTGAAGTATAGTCATAGTCAGTGATTATTACTATTTCTGTAAAAAATAAGGAGAGAAATACTGCAATAAAAAAAGGAAAAAAGAAAAGTGAAAATGTGCTGCAAAAACATAAATGATGCTAACACACAAAACACGTGCAAATGAAAAATTCTACACGTAACAAAACATTTGCAAGTTAAGAAAAGCTGCAAGCTAACCTTGCATAACAGAAGCACTCCAGACCTCTAGGGGGAGTCGATCCTCAACTCATATCAGAACAGACCATGGAGATTAATACTCATTAACACACCCAGACTGGCCGTAGGGAGAATCGGGAATATTCACGAACTGCCGGCCTGGGATTGGCCTGCTGGCACTTCCTTTAAGCAA